TTTGAGTTTGGCTGTGGTGGCTCACACCTAATCCCAGCACTTTGGACCGGAGGCAGAGCGGATCCTCTATCACGGAATCCTTTGAGACTCAGCGCTGGCTACAATGCGTGGAAAACCCCCATCCTCTTACTAAAAATACAAAGACTATTAGCGGGCGTGGTGTGGGTTGGGCGTGCATCCCCTTTCCCCTGGGAGCTGAGGCAGGAGAATGGCTTGAAGAACGAGGTGGAGCTTGCAGTGAGCTGAGTTTGCACCCATGACCTCCAGCCTGGGGCAACACTTAGAGCGAGAGGACCCGTCCATCTCAAAAAAAAAGAACGGAAAAAAAAAAAAAGAAGTGCCACAGATAAAAGTAAAGCTGGAATATGTGTGGCCACTTGCTAATTAAACGTTTACTTAACAAAAATATGCGATACTGGCCAGAACCAGGCGCCCAAGCCACAGGATTTCCTGAACCCTGCTCAAGGCAGCAATGGAAAGGGACTTCAAGCCTGGGAATTACAAGCAAAAACACTTCTTCATCTCAACACAAGTTGAAGTGCTGAAGGTAAAAAGTAACTGGAGAGGTGAAGAGGAGCTAGCAGCAGAAAGAAACAGCAACTAGGGCTCTGAAGATGTTCTGGAGTGAGGGACGTTATAAAAAATATGGGGCAGGCTGCGGTGTCTCACACCTGTAATCCCAGGGCAGCTTTGGAGGCCCTGAGGTGGGGTGAAAGCATTAGTAATCAGGAGTTCAAGACCAGGGCCTTGCAACACCAGTGAACCCGTCTCTACTAAAAAATAGGCAAAAAATTAGCAGGGTGTGAGTGGTGGCCCGGGCACAGTGTCACTCACCAGCCTACTCGGGGAGGACTGAGGCTTTGGAGACATTACTTGAACCCAGGGAGAAGCAGGAGGGGTTGGCAGCGTATGCAGACTCAGCACATGTTTCTAAGCTGTGAACTCTATGGGGAAAGTAATTGAGGTAGTTCACCTAATTATTAATGTATTCTCAGCACAATGCCTGACACACAGTAGGTATTTGAAGAATATCCATCAAATGAATAAATAAATAAATAAATAAAATAAGAGGTAGGATTTTAGAGCATTATATAAAAGCATATATTTTCAAGATGACTAAGTCAACTCCATCTTAACCACAATATTATTTTTACAGATTTTAAAAACATTATTTGAAAATTTTATCAGAGAAGTAATTAGTACCTTCTGAGCACTTAACTAAGGGTGAACACTTCAATCCCTGACAACAACAAGTAAGGTATTTTAAAGAATATCCACAAATGAATAAATAACTAAATAAAAAGAGGTAGGATTTAGGAGCATTTATAAAAGCATATATATTTCAAGATGACTAAGTCAACTCCATCTTAACCACAATATTATTTTACAGATTTTAAAAACATTATTTGAAATTTATCAGAGAAGATAATGTACCTTCTGAGCACTTAACTAAGGGTGAACACCTGATCAAATTGCTTTGTAAGTATTAATCAACCCCATATTAATTACCTCAACTACGTGAAGAACATATAAAAAAAACACCTGTCCACTACTTTGCACACAGGTGCTTTATCTATACCTATTGATTTATTTTTTTTTTATTTTTTTTGAGACGGAGTTTGCTCAGTCCGCCAGCAATTGTTGCAGTGGTCAACGATATCTCGGTCGCGACATATGCACAAGCGATAGCGGAAACCTGATCCCTGCAGCTTTCACTCACGCCATTTCGTCCTCATCTGCCCTCTATACCTACCCCGAGTAGCCTGGGCTACAGGCCTCCTCTTGGCGCAGCGTATGCCGGCGTCAATCAGACTTTGCAGTTGAGTCGAGAGTTAATTCCTACTTCTACAGTTCACACACACAGGTGCAATCACGAGCAACACCACTGCCTGTCTCAAAAAAACAAATAACCCAGGATGGTCTCCAATCTCCTGCTCGTGATCTCCCGTCTCGGCCTCCTAAAAGGCTGAGGGATTACAAGCCGGAGCCCACTGCGCCCGGTAAAAAAAAAAAATTTTCAGGCAGACTTTATAAAGCTTTGCGTTGATCCTCTAATGCACCGACACTATTCCCCATTGTACCAAAAAGGCAGCCAACAAGGCAATATTAAATGAATAGATGAACCCTGTGTTTAATAAAACTTAATTACAAAAAAAACAAACCGGGCCAGATTTTAAGGCCTTTGGCCTGT